ACCTTTGTCACGGGTTGGAGTGTTCCCAGGCTCACAGAATACTTCAGAGACTCACACAGAGCAAGATTTCCTTCTCAGTTGGCTTCTTTGTCTGCGTGCCAGGCAGGGTTGCCAGCTACTTGGCATTGAACCAGACAGTCTCACTGAAAAGGAGACCAGTCTTTGTTGGGGTCTCTAAAGGCAGATGGGAGGCGTAGGGTCATGAACCCAGGACTGTCCTATTCAGATGCTGCCATCCAGGCAGACAGGTTCCTGGCCAGGCTGTAGAAGCTCCTCTCCAGCCCCAGAGCAGAGGGAACCCAGCTGCAGCAGGGATGGAGGTGGGGAAGATCCAGCCAGTGACAGGAGGAGGAGAGTGAAAAGAAGTGGCCAAGGACTGGGTGATGGTGGAGGAAGGGGCAAAAGGGGAGAGGCACATTGGACTAGCTGAGACAGAGTTAGGGGCTATGGAAAGGAAGCAAGCCAGGACACAGGGCCTGGGGAATAGGTGGGTGGAGGCAGAGCCCTGGGCACCAGTGACTGACAATGAGAACGGCTGTAACCCTGGGTATGTCTACACTACCCCCCTAGTTCGAACTAGGGAGGTAATGTATGCATACCGAACTTGCTAACGAAGCCTGACGAGGCGTACAGATAGTTCAGAATAACTACATAGTTCGAACTATCTAGCCCGTGCCGCGTGTAGCCGCATGGCACGCGGTTCAAACAAGCCGCACACTAGCCGGCTTTTAAAAATGGCGGAGCCGGCTTTATGCTAATGAAGCCCGGGAAATTCAAATCCCGGGCTTCCTTAGCAAGTTTGGTATGCATACATTACCCCCCTAGTTCGGACTAGGGGGGTAGTGTAGACATGCCCCCTGAGAGTTACGGAGCCATACGCAGACTGATTCCACCATGGGTCACCCTGATCCAGCACAGTAAGGGAAGGACACAACATCTGTCTGACTGCAAAGGTTGTGATTCAGGGAAGGGGCTTCAACACCATGTTACCACCAAGGAAAGCAAGGAGCTTGGTCTGAAAGCCACAGCCCTAGGAGAAAACGTTAGACTGCTTCTGAGTAATGAGCCAAAGCAGCCTCCCCCGAACGATTGGTTTGGTCTTCACACCATAGATGATGGGGTTTAATGTGGGGGGCACCAGGAGACACATGTTGGCAAACAGAATGTGGAAATGAAAGGGTATATTCTGGCCAAACCGCTGTGCAAGGGCAGAGAAGAGAGCTGGGATGTAAAAGACTAAAATGACACAGAGGTGGGAGGTGCAAGTCCCAAAAGTCTTGAGCCGGGCGTCCTTGGTGGGGAGACGGAAGATGGCCCTGAGGATCTGGGTGTAGGACATGGTGATAAAAAACAGATCCAGACAGTTCTTCAATAATGAAACAAAGAGGCCATAGTAACTACTGATGCGGATGTCGCCACAGGACAGCTTTACCACGGCGATGAACTCGCAATATAAAAGGGGGATGACGTTGGTTCTGCAATAAGGCAACTGCCTTGCTAGGAAGGGATGAGGCAGCAGGAGGATACAGCCACGCAGCAACACGGCCAGCCCAATACTGGCCACAACGTGGCTTGTCAGGATGGTGGAATGTCTCAGAGGATTGCAGATGGCCACATAGCGATCAAAAGCCATGGCCACGAAGATCCCAGACTCCACCGCTAAAAAACAGTGAATGAAGAACATCTGGGTGAGGCAGGCATTGAAATTGATACCCCTGGAATTGAACCAGAAGATGCTCAGTGTTTTAGGTAGCGTGGATGTGGACAGGACCACATCGGTGATGGCCAGCATGCAGAGGAAATAGTACATGGGCTCATGGAGGCTACGCTCTCTCTTCACAATGAACAGGATGGTGATGTTTCCCAAGATGGCTATGATGTACATAGTGCAGAAGGGGATGGAGAGCCAGACATGGGCCGTCTCCAGGCCAGGAATGCCCAGCAGGATGAAGGTGGAGGGGTTGGTGAAATCGGTTGCGTTGGAATATGACATGGAGCAGGGGAGAAAGGATCCGAAGATGAGGCTGGATGGTGTCTCCTTCATATACCGTATGTTCCCTTGACTCACTTTATATGCCCAGACTCTACGGCGCAGTTCACAGTACCTGGATGGAGAGATGATGTTAACAAGAGACATCACATGCACTACAGGAAACTCTTTTCATGGGTGGAGCACATTCCCTGCACAGTAAAAAGACATTTTCATTATTTGGAGATATGATTCATTAACCACTGACCCTACTAATGACAATTCCATATTTTATGTGTCAGTATTTACTATACAGAATCATGTGGGAAAATGTAACATGTGCCAGAGGGTAACAGGGCTGTGGATTCATGTTTTCAATCATTGCCCCTTACTGAAAAGAAACCCTGAAGAGACATTCATGTCATACAGATTCCCCATTGACCTGGTTTCTCAAAATATGAGAATGGGGAAAAAAATACAAATCTTTGACAAGTCAAGTGCCAGGGAAAACCCTCCAATTAGAACACACTTCAGGGGAAAGTCCTGGCTGTTAGTGATAGCAGTGTTACACAAATAGTGTTCAAAGCAAACACAATCTTCAGATACCCCTGTGATGCTCTTGGATTGTAATTGGAACACGCAGAGCACTGCTGACTCCACTACAATACATTGGAAATAAATGTAGCGCAATGTCTGCCAGTGAGATGTCTCCCAAGAGCTCATGGTTGGCTGGTTATGGGTGTCCTATCTGTGTTATGCATATCCTGGTTATGGTTATACCATTTGAATGTTATGCAAATATTATGCATATTTAAGTCCTTGATGATACAGACCTTAGCTGTGGGTCTGTGTGTCAGAGGTTACCTCCTGGAGTAGCACCCACAGGATCATTAGCCAGTGTGTTGGGAAAGTCTAGTCAGGTTTATCGGTTCTTCAAGAAACATTAAAGGGACAATGGAGGTTGGCAGGCAGCCAACTCAACTGAACACTTTCCAGCAAACCTTTAGTTTGGAGTGTGGGCCAAGGCTTCCCCCCACAGAGAACGGAGCCAAGCACATAGAAGGCACACACCCATTAGGTGTGATTCACTGTCCATGGGGTGGCACTGAGGTCACTTCCAGAGAGATAAGAATGAGTCTGTTCTACTGCCTCAGCCTCATGCACTGCAGTCTCAGGGTGCATTTTGCCTATTGGTGTTACCCGTGGAAAGTGACTTACTCTTGTGCCTCCGAACCCCACCTTGGGATGTGCTTCGCACAGTGAGCACAATGGGAATCCCACCCCATGGCTGAGGATACGTAAAGCGCCCTGGAAATCCCTCCATTTGCCTTGGATCCTGCTCCTCACCTCTACAGGATCCGTCCTGAAGCTTTGAACAAAGGACTGTCCACCAATCCCAGTTGCCCCGGGAACAGGACTTAAGCCAGCAGCTTATCCCATCCCTGCTACAAGCCTGCACCGAGATCTTTGCAATTGGTGACCGTAATTGACTCCTTCACCAATTATAGCTTTCTTTCTTTCTTTCTTTCTTTCTTTCTTTCTTTCTTTCTTTCTTTCTTTCTTTCTTTCTTTCTTTCTTTCTTTCTTTCTTTCTTTCTTTCCCTTTACATAAAGATTCAGAATTGAGATCCTAAAGGCTCCAGCAGGTTTGTGGGAAAGTCATAAATTGACCTCGGAATGTGGCTGGCTTTTTTAATCTGATGGGATTGGTTTTCGTAACATCTCATCTTTACAGGGAGTGTCGTTGGTGCTGGTCCAGAATCCCTGAAATGTGGTGCCCAGAACCAGGCAAATTCAACAGATTTTTTGTCCTGGGAGGGTTCCACTGTACTAGGGATGAATATTCACATAGAGAATGCGCCAATAGAGCCAATAGAGCACGGGCAAAGTGGACTGAAAACTGGTTAACTGAGAGATCTGAGAAAGCCATTGCCAATGGGCCACTGTCAGTGAATGGGGCTGTTCTTAGGGGAGTTCGGCAGGGGTCTAATGTTGGCCTAATGTTGTTCAATATTTTCATCAATTATCCGGAAGTCAATCAAAATAGAAACTCACTGCAGGTAAATTGTGGGTGACCCAAAGCCTGGCTGAGTGGTGTAACGTGGAGGCCTGGGCCGGCAAATTGACTGAGGGGATGAACTGAGAATACAGGATAAATGCATGGACCAGGGCACTGAGTTATGGAACGCAAGGACCCTAAATGGGATTAAGGTTATAGTGCAGACCCAATTCCTTCTGAGCTCCTAGTGCAATGCACGGGCCAAAGGGCGGATGCAATCCTAGGATGCAGAAACAGGGGAGGGGTGAGTTGGAGCATGGGGAGAATTTTTCCTCTGCACTTGGTACTAGGGAAACCAACCTTAGGCAGTCCCGGGGTCGGCATTTCACAAGGGATGTTGAGAAACTGGAGAGGCTGTGGAAAAGAGCCACCTGAATGATTAGAACCCATGGAAAATTCTGGTCACTGAGAGGCTGAAAGAACTTCATCGATCTAATGTAAATTGTGAAGATGGGTCTTTAATCTAGCTGAGTAGAGCAGAAAATGACCCAATTGGACGGGGGGAGCTAAAATCACACAAGTTGCTGTTAGTAATAAGGGCACGGAGGGTGAGTGACTAGTGGAACAAAGTGCAATGGGACGTGGTGGGCTGTCCAACCGCCTGTCTCTGGACATCCAGACCGAGAAGGATTTGCAGGCTGGTCTCATGCCTCCCTTAATCTCCACATCTCACAACTAGACACCACCAGTTCCCTCAGCTGTCCTTGTTACACACAGCAACAAAACAACCAAATCCACACCCTGAGAGCTAGGACTATTTCAGCCTCACTCTGGTGTCAGCAACATGAGAGAAACAGCCTAATGCTCCCCTTGATCTCGTTAGCAGCGCTCCGGGGGTTGATTTGCCTGTGCTGTCGGGAGCACACTGCTATCAAGATGGGTCCTGTCTCCACTGAAGCGGTGGCATTTAAGGGTCGATAATCCCTGAGGCAGATCTTCTGTCAGGTATCTAAAACATGGTTACAATCAGGAGAGGGAGAAGTATTCCCCTTAACCTCTGAGGCTAGGACAAGAAGCCATGGGCTCAAATTGCAGGAAGGCAGGTTTAGGTTGGGCATTAGGAAAAACTTCCCACCCGTTGGGGTGATGAAATACTGGAATCAAATGCCCAGGAAAATTGTGGAATGTCCATCATGAGAGACATTTAAGAGCAGAAGACTGTATAAAAATAATAAATACCCTTGCAGAACCTTAGAGACCAACAAAAATGTAGATGCTTCAGGGGGTGGCTGAGTTAGTCTGTACAGGATACACTTAAAAAAGAAAAACTGGTCTGGTAGCACTTTATAGACTAACAAAACATTTAGATGGTATCATGAGCTTTTGTGGGCACATCCCACTTCTTCAAATGAGCGGAGTTTTAAGTTTCAGATGTGCAGACCCAAAATAAATAGAGGAGAAGGGAGAAGGAAAAAAAAGAAGGGGGGAGGACGGGAAACAAGGAGCAGAGGTTATGAGAAAATCAAAGGGAAAAAGAGGAAGACAGAACAGTTTATAGTGAAAACAAAGCAGATAAGGATTATAGTCAATAGATGGGGGGATACTAACACAGGAATCTGCATAAAGATTTGTTTGCACCTTCAACGGATGTTAGGATGGTAATTGCATTCATGGTATGTAGATGTTAATCATGGGCACAACCCACTTCTTCAGATGAATGGAGTTTAAGGGGTCCAAGTTCCCAATAAATAGCACAGGACCTAACCACATACACCACCACAACAGAGGCTCATATAACTGCACATTCACCCATGTGATCTATGCCATCAAGTGCCACCAATGCCCCTGTACCACGGATATTGGCCAAACTGGACAGTCTCTATGAGAAAGGATTAATGGACACAATTCCGATATTCGAAAAGGAAATTCACAGAAACCTATTGGGGAACATTTTACCTTACCCGGGCACTCACTAATAGATCTCAAAGTGACCGTATTATTGCAAGCCAATTAAAAAAAAAACTGCTTGAAAGGGAAGCGGCAGGGCCTAATTTCATTTACAGGAGAAGTTCTGCTGTTTTCTTTGTAGGCCCTACAAAGTTCATGTACAAGTTTGAAAGCTACAATAGAGGTTTAAACAAAGACCTTAACTGAATTACCCTCTACATCCCACATCCTAATCACATAAAATGCCAAACACCGGATACTTCAGAGTCCTTCATTTACTCTCTGTCAGCTTCATTTACATGGAGACTCATTGAGCATTCGTTTCCCATCTTTTTCTCCAACCTTTTCCCTCCTCATCCCCTTCCTTTCTCTGCTCTTTATTTGGAACTTAGACCCCTTAAACTTCATTCATCTGAAGAAGTAAGTGGTGCCCATGAAAGCTCAAGATGTCGTCTACATTGTTGTTAGTCTCTAATATGCTGCAAGACTACTCATAATTTTTCAAGTCTTTTTTTTTCAGTTACAGACTAAGAAGGCTACCCTGCTGAAAATTTAAGAGCAGGCTAGACAAACACCTGTCAAGAATGATATAGATGGGGCTTTGTCTAGCCTTAACGGTAGGGAACTGGACTCGATGAACTTTCTGGTCCCTTTCTCTTCTATGTTTCTATATAATGGTCTAATCTCATCTAAAACCCTATGAATCTGTCCAAAAACTAAGTAGATCTGGCATTTGTTTTCACTTTGTCCCACTCCACATGAACAAGGGAACACTCCACTCTATTGAATGTGAACATATAACACTGATAAAAGAAGTCTATTTACATAACTGTATTTGACCTGGTGAACTCCATGCCACAGACATTTTTGGATTGAAGTGCTTAGCTGAACGGGATTCACTGATGGATTGGCCATGGCTGGTGGCACTGGTCAGACCGACTTGTGTGAAGGCTTCCTGACACCTTCAATGAGAAAACCTAATTTCCAGCTGTTTGCACATTTTCCAAAAATTTCCCAGGTGGGGTGTCTGGTTGAGGCTGTCTGACACTCCAGACCCCAGGTTCCCGGTGCCCCTGAC